GTTACAACTATGACATTTGAAGTTAACTACATTAACGATCGTTTTACTCATCATTTTAGCATCCGGAGGGAAAAATCAAAGTGGAAGCCAAACGATTTCTGTACCGCCGACAGTGTGACACTGTATGCATTGTCGTTTGAGTAAGTAAAATGCCTTTTTAGAACAACGGTTGACTTAAATTATCATCACTTGGTGGTTAATTGACCTTCAACCACCAGTGGTATGAGGATTGCTTCTCCCGAGAGAAAGCATCGAGTGAGGATGAAATGCCAAAAAGCAGAATTAGACACTCTTATGTCTATCAGAAGGGGTGTGCGATAGACTTACCTCCACGTGGTGCACCCTGGGCAACGTATACTCATACGGCAAAAAAGTCTATTAACCGGCAGTTGACTTTTGACTTCAAACTACCATCACCCCACTGGATGGCATATTCTACCACTTCCACAGTAATCATCCTACCTTTTCTCTGCCTTTGTGTCTGTCTCTTTTACAACTGCAAACCACTCTTCTGTTCCCCATCCCTCGACTTTCTGTTACTTTGATTTTCCTTCCCTCTGTGAAGCCTGAAGTCAACTGAAGGGCTAATGATAACTATCAAAACGCCTGCCATTTGATATAAATAAATTAATGTCTATCAGAAAGTAGCTGGCATATTCTCAATCACAAGATCGCTATTGTTTATAATACAACCATTATCACTACTGAGAGTCTTGAATTTTGTTCCTTGCTCAGTGTTAGTAAAAGAAATCAAATTTTAGAAATTTTTAATAATTTATTGCATAAAAGCACACCTCTAAATACACCGAAGAAATATTTTTGAGTCTATTTAATTGTTTAATTTTAAACAGGGTCTTAATCTCTAAAGGCATCCCAATGTACCCAAAAATGATACTAGCTCAAATCGCTTCAATTTCTAACCATAATAGTTCCAGAGCTACCAGGAACGAGGGTATTTGAAGCCAAAATCGTTTTCGAAATCCAACTATGCATACTCGTACGTTTTATACTCATTAAAATATTAATATAAGTGAAGTTTCATTCAACATATTCACCGTTGTTTACCGAATTGGTAAGAATTTTGTACCGCCTTTAAATTTGGTATTCCAAGTATACTCTAGATGTCCCTTTCTAGTTAAACAAATTTTCTATAAAACTAACCTACTTACTCTATCTCTCATTTCTGCCTCTTATTATCTATATATTCGGCATGAGTCAACAATATTCGCTTGTGAATTGTGCTCTATTCATAATTTCCCCTAAAGCGACTGGTTGATAAGTGCTTTACTATGCAAGAGGAAAGAAACTTACGCCTTTTGGGTGCTTCCATTACTGGTTCTCTGTCCTCAATCAATGACGAAGATTCGAAATTGACGGGTATTGAAAGACGACCATTGGTTGTAATCTCAGTTTCCGGAAGCTAGAATCGGATTGGTAAAGTTCACATGAAACGGCGTTGAACCTACCTTCAATTGTACTGCCGTGGCTGTCCGCTTTGGTGTCGATTGAGTGAAACCAGTGGAAATTGGCTGGAGTAGGAATGGAGAACAAGGTTGTTTATGAAACATGGATTATTGTGAGGCTAAATAAATTTACCTTTTAAGTGTCTCACTCTCTTTAAGGGGTGTACAAAGTGATTTAAGGAAAAAGGTGTAATAATAAGTTAACGCCCTGGGCATAAATTTACGTAATTAGAAAATAAATTGGGCGACAAGAGATTCGTGCCAACTAATGTGCCAAGAATTAATTAAATCACTACCAACTTCATTTTAATAATGGCAAAACGTGCGCATGAAGAAGGCAGTCCTTTGTGGTGTATTCCCGTTTTCAATACGTTCCAGAGGATTTACACCTCAAAAAGCTGAAATTTGATTACTTATGATAAATTAGAGGGTGTGTGTGATATATTTACCCCCATGTGGTGCACCCTGGAAAACGTATACTAATACGGGAAAAAGTGTTTATTAAAAGGCAGTTGACTTCTGACCTCAGACTACCATCATCCCACTGTGTCATGTTCCACCACTTCCACAGTACTCACCTCACCTTTATTCTACCTTTGTGTCTGTCTCTTTTACAACTTTGAAACACACTTCTGTCCCTCCCCCCTCTCGACTTTTTTCACTTTGATGTTCCTCCTCCACTCTGTGAAGCCTGAAGTCAACTAAATGGCTAATGTTAACTATCAAAACGCCTGAAATTTGATATAAATAAATGATAAATTAGATGCCTTGGCTTATTTCACTCGGGTTATGCTATAACTAACGAGATTTCAGGTGCACGAAATTAGGTTTTAGGAAGGTGTGAAAATTCAGCAAATGATTACCGGTAACCGGTGAATACAATGTTTTCGTAAAGCCTTAGTTTGATTGCAGTATAACAATGGTTGGCAGAAGTTGAATGAATGTTCCTTTGGTTCATTCGCAAGTCATTCAACTACGGCTAGTCCAATGGACGGAAAAATTTGATTGAGTACAAGGCCTTAAAACTGGAGATAGGGATTAAGAAGCATGGTGGTACTCCCCTAACCTTATCGAAGTTGAGAAGTTGACCTAGACTAAAACCACTTATTGACAAATTTCTATCATTGGTTCATGATATGCGCACATATTAGATCCCATGGCCAGCTAGGATACGGGCCAACTTGTGGTACTCTTTTTGGCTCGGGTTAATTGTTCCTCGCATCTCCGATTTGGCGTTTTTCATAGGCTCTCCACGTCCTTTCTCATTGACAATGCATTTTGAAATCCTCCACCATACAAACAGACATGTTGACGTTAATTGTCAGAGAGTGAATTGTAGTCTGTTATCAATTGGACGCTTCTCTCAGCCTACAGCAAATCGTCTCGATTTATTTTTCCTCTCCCCAATCACTTACATCCTGTTCTTCCTCATATCTTTCTGTCTTCTGATCTCACTGAAATCCTGGTCCCCGATTTTGGAAAGGCTGTTGGTTCCTCCTACCTCTTAGGGGGGTCTGGATCCAGTTGGCTTTTCTCAGTCTCTTCTTTATTTCTTTAAATTGATTTGGTTCATCATGATTTTCCAAGGGCGAATTTAAGATTTCCCAAACTCATCGAAGATCGCAGTTAAGCGTACTCTTAGAATAATCATCATTTAATAATTAGATACAATATAAAAATTTAACAACTGCTATAGAGATCCTTTTTCAGACACGTCATAAAATTGGTTAAAGAATAGATCAAAATAGAATTGTCTCCACCTTGAAATATTAAATTTTTTGACGAAACTTAATAAATAAATAAATAAAAGAGGGTACTTTTGCAATAACTCACTTGTTCTTGTCTATTATTCTTTACACTTGACATGATAATTGGAGGTGAGTCTATAAGATACAAAGAAAAGATCAAAAAATGTTTAGAACTTGAAATTATTGGCCAAAACAGAAAACTGGTCACTTGCCACCCTCCATAGAGGCTTTGTAAATCTCCACTCTAGCAACATGTTTTGAGATTTTCTCATTAAAACACTTGTAGAAGGCTTCTTTTTCCTTCAAACGCTTCACTTCCGCCTCAAGCTTCTTATTCTGCCTTTTCAATTCAAACATATCATGCAAGAGGGTCAGAGCTGGAACACAACCGAAAAGAAGCGATGAATTAGTGGAAGGCGAAGAAAACTCAAAATGATGGGGGATGGGAGAGCGTGTGAATAGATCAATAAATCTATTTATAACCCCGGGATCTCATCTACTCTTTCATGTCCGACAGATGTACTTTGCTTGTAAACAGTTCCAAAGCTTCGGCTCCAGACATTTTATTACTTAGCTATTAAGGGTGAGAGGCGTGATATCCGGGCACTTATTGCTGAATATCTGTTGAATATCCGGTTACCTGAGTATTCCTGCTTGTCATTGAGACCCAGTGCAATTGGGATAAAATAAAGCGTAGAAACTAGACTAGGCGTAGTCTCTGGGGTCATCTGTGGTTCTGTCTGTTGCATCACTAGATAGAACCCACAACTCCACCCCCACCCCCAACACCCTCCAAGATATTCCATATCTTCGTCCAATTAAAATAATCTAAATACAAATTACCCATCGAATCAGGCGCATTTTTAATAATTTTCTTTAGGCTCTGTTGGTAATCCCATTCAAAAAGTTCATCAAATGATGAAATCTCGGAAAATTGTAGTCTTCTTTCAACTTTTGAGCCACAGACCTCGCAATCAGGTCTATTTTTAGTCAAAGATGAATGTCTTCCAATTTCTTTTCCTCGATATGCTTTTCCGTCACACTTCGAAGGGAGTGGCTCTTTGGAAGACCTAGTCTTTGAAAAACGTCCTGGGTTACAAGATTTATTTTTCTTAGCTTCTTCGTTAGGGTTACAGCCACTTCTTCCAACAGGACACTCCTCAACTTCAGTGGAATTTACCAAAGATGAGCGTTCTGATATCTTCGCCGTTTTGTTTTCACAACTATTTCTAGACTTCTGAGGTCTTGTGGTGAATTCTTCCCGAGGTTTCTTACTGGCTGATTGATTATTATTTTTAGCTTCTTTGTTAGGTTTACAGCCATTTGTTGAATCAGGACACTCTTTCGCTAATTCCTTCTCCACAACTACAATGGAGTTTACCAGAGAGGGGCGTTTTGATATCTCCGTCGTTTCGCTTTCGCGACTAATTCCAGACTCATGAGGATTTGAGCCCAATTCTTCTCGAGGTTTCTTGGTAGCTGATGGCGTTTCTTCGGAATGATCACTTTTTGTTGTCGATCGATGAGAATTTACACCCGACTTCACTGTGACTTGTTGTTTTGTTGATTGGGAGCCTTTTGCACTTGATTGACTTTTATCTAATTGACGCTCTTTCAAAGCAGACGGAAGATTAGTTGAAGTATCTTTTCGCGGTCGACCTCTTTTCCTCTTTCCCATAACAGTGGATGAATTTTTAGCAGGCGGCGATTTCGAAACAGTAGATGGCTTAATACAGTTTACAATTTCCGTGGGATCTTTGTTTTCTTTATTGATTGCTGGCCCTATATTATCATGGTTTGGTTCTTGTCTCGTTTGGGATTCTTCCATATAAGTCTGGGTTTCGTCTTTATTTGTCTCTTCTGGCCTCTCTGAAGGAGAATAAAAGGTTAAAATTGATCGTAACTATTTGCTAAATCATTAAAACTGTTCCGCTTCGGGTGGATATTAGATTGAAAATTATGTGAGAATGTAAATCTTTGATCGAGAAAATCGATATTGTGTGTACCTTTTGTCCAATGATCGCTATGCCTAAACTCGATCGCAGAGAAGTATATGAATCTAACCATGATTGGTTTAACAGAAAGGCACAAATCGGTAATCGAATCATCCTTAACTACTTTATCTCATGTTAAATAAAGTATTGATACAAACAAAGCAATAATAAGATTGTTGAAGTATTTGTACAATTAAAGCACTTTTGACAGCCCAATTTAAAATTAATGGTCCTTGCTTTTGCATGGGTTATTTTTGAAATGATAACCACGTTGGAAAGCGTAGAATTGATGAATTAAACTGTTCTTTCAATAGAGTATTCTAAGACGCTTTTAGACGAGGGGAAAAATTTTGAGGATGGTATGGGAATTTCTTGTCTTTATCTACTCGACAATCAAACTCCAATTCGAAACACTTCCTGCATGGAATCAATAATAGTATCGAATCCTGTCCAATAGCATTCACTATCAGAAGACATTGGATTCCCTCTATCTACATCTCTCTCACTACTGATCATCCCTTCAAGATCCACGTGGCATGTATTCGTGAATTCTCTTAGCTGAACTTCCATAAGGAAGTATGTATTCGTTTCTGATTTTTCCAGTTTTAGTTGCTCTACACTTCGAAGTTCCCGTTAGAGTTACTTCAACTTCAGATTCGTTACCGTTTATGGTCGTATTACGGAATTTTAGATGATCGACCTCCTTTCAGCAGTTTTTAACCCTAGAATCGAATTTTTAATCAATATAGCAACCTTTTGTCAATGACAGATTGGTTCATTTCTTATCTGAAATCCTTAATTATTTGAATGAGGTTCAGTTTTATTTAATTTAATTTAAAGAAAAAATAACGTGCGCTTTTCCTTGTCTTCTCCTGTTACGGAGTCTTTTTCACTGGACGATGTTGAAGAACTATAAAAAAATCAATATTTTGGTCATCGATTATTGAAATAAATACGATAGAATAATGTTACTTACTGGAGAAAGTTGAAGAGCTTGGGATATTTACTCTTGTAGGCCTAAGCAATCGATGCAAAAAAATTATTTTTATTTTAATAAGTAACCAAAAAGCAATCGTGGGACATGGAAAAATACTTAATTTCATAAACAACAGACTCATTCAGTAAATTATAATTTTTTTGCAGCTTTATACAATTTCAAGATAAAATTAACTACCTGAAGCAAGTGAATAACCAATTGACCCCTAATGTAATTGAACGATTCTTCATCGCATACCTACCCAGCAGATAACTTGTCTTTTACTTTTTCGAAGGTAAGCATTTTCCTTCATTTACCTTTTCTCTAAAGAGTCATTTAAATTCATGATTAATGAAACCCTTCATATACTGTAATATTTCAATCTTGATTATTTTCATCAGTCACTGGATGTCAAAATTAATCGAAGAATTAGGACTTGAAATCCAAGTGGGCGTTTCGGTTTTGATATTTCGCATTGGTAGACAGAAATGTATAAATAATAAAAGTGCTCTTAGTAATCCTTCAATTTTTCGAATGCGTAGAAATGTTTCTAAATTCTTTTTCTCCATCAGAATAAACATATTAGGAGTAAAAAGGCATTCATGGAAAGTACTACGATTATACAGAGTCTTATTGAATTATTCAAAGCAATTAACTAACTGATTAGCTATAAGGGAGTATGGTAGCCTTAATAATTTAGTAGCAGGGGATACCTCAGCACATCTTACCATATAATGGCTTAAATCACAAAAGGCAAGGCAGTGTTTAAGCTTAACAGGATAATGTTTTCCAATATTCAACTCCGGTGCCGATTTAAACAAAATTGCGAGGTTTTTCTTAAGAGATAACTCCTGTGTTAGGGGCATTTCTAATAGGTGTTTCGCTGCAGCGCTAAACCAAAAAATGTTTAAATTTCAATCTACTCATAATTATAAGTAGTTATGTTTGTTGACGTGTGAGCATTACCAAGTGACGTGAACGTAGGATACGCAATTTTCTTTTGCGCATTTAACGAAGCCACCTTTACTGTTGCTTTCTCGTGCACATAGTACGCACTTCTAAATAGAATGTCATGTTATTATATCAATAATTAAGCAGATTAGTAGACCCACCCTTCGAACCTTTGAAGGAACATTTTTAATCGAAATAACCTCCATTGTGGCATTATCAAGGAACTTCACCTCGGGAATGCACAGGGCACATAATACATGAGCATACTCTAAAGATAAGTGATGCCATTACTGCCAGTATGTTAGATATTACTTTTTGAATCCTCAATCGGTCGGAAAATGCCTTCTTTCATTGGACATAACTCGCACGTCTGCAGATGATTAATTGAGCGATGAATTTAGCAACTTACGACAACATTCATATTGGGTTTAATCCTACACACATGACAGTAGAACTTTTCTATATTCCTTGCCCTAGTGAAGCCGTAGCAACCTGCAGATTTTAGAAGGAAATATTAAGTGCACTTACTCTGATGAACTCGGTAGTTACAGATGAAGCATTCTTCAAGGGGGTTATTTGGGGAATTAAAAGCTTGCTGGCAAACGTTACAAGCATTGGAATTCATTTCACAGATTGATTAGTCATAACATATGATTGCCGCTAAGTTAACTGAGTCGTTTTAAAATATGATATTCTAATCGTGAACTCGTAAAGCACATTTAGCGATTCTCTTAATTTACTAATAGTTTGGGCAAATTATTTTGAAAAGTGGTCATTTTTGGAAGTTGGGGTAATAGTCAGCGTTTCTGAAGATCAGAATTTTGCAAAATTCCACAGATAGGGGGTGGGGGGAGTGGGGGCAGAATGGTTGCAATAGATTCAAAAGTTATCAAGATCCATGTTCGTTCCTATGTGAATATTGAGCCCATGAATTCTGACTAGACGGACTTTAATGAAGAACTCTGTGTCACCAGTGTGCACCAGGTATAATATCGTGAAATTGAACCACATTAAACTTAATTTGGTCTATTTTGATAATTGGATATTTGACCCAATTGTGTTGACCTAAGGTAAGGTGTTTTTACCGTCTTCAATATCCACCCATTTTTTAGAATAAACAGAACTGATTGATATATAAACTTGTTACTATATTTAATAGAATTAAAAAATACGGATTGTTTAATAATATAATTAAACAACCAAGCCTGTTTTTAAAAAATACTGCGCAATTCAAAAAATTTGGGAAAATAATGAGTTTAAAATTTCAAAATTAAACTTGGAGTAGCTGACGATGTTTCTCATCATAAAACATTTTTTTTCTCATAATTCGATCTCATTTGATGAAAGTGAAAAATATGTAATCTATAAGTTGTAGTAACGGAAGAGTATTTGAAAGCATTATTTGTTTTAGCAATTGGTATTATGTCCTACAATGCTTTCTTTTGTCACAAAGCAGGAGTTTTGAATAGCATCTAATAGAATTTGAAGTGGACTTTCGGAAGTTTCCAACTAGAAACGAAGTTCCTGGTCTTTAAAGACCTGTGCAACTAATTCACATAAAACAACTTTCTCGTATGTTTAAGTCGGACCATTTGAAATGTTTTCCACCTCCACAACTTCTAATATCCCGTCTAATGAGTGTGACAGAAAGGGTAGATGATCGGGGTCGGTGGGGAAACAGAGGAAATCCCATTACCTTGAAGTCAGTATTTGAAATTAACTTCATATTCTAGATTACAATTTGGATGACAATTCTAGTGATGTAGACGCTAGTCCTATTGGCTAATTCTGACCAACAAGAGTGTTACTAGATATCGATTTTTCCATGCGAGCGGTTCCAAGTTATCTCTCCTCACAATTTGATAATCATTGATAACAGTTCTTCGAATGGCCTTGTGGAATATTTACATGGCAGTGTTAGAGTTGTGCGCACGATAAAGTAAAGAGTGTATGAAAGTGGGTCAAAGTGATGAGTGATACAAGACAGCACCTCAAAATATGCAGGGAATAAATTCGATGAAACAGTGCAGATGCTATACTTAGTTATCCTGAAGTTTTGCAACTGTCTGGACTTACCGTCTCCATCTCATCAGCTGGGTGGCAATTTAATCAACTTACAGCCAAATCATATTTGTATTTACTCAGGTCTAATCTCCCCCTGACATACACCGAATTCCCCCCCCCCCATTCATACCACACAACAACTTGGATCTCCAATACCTTTCGGCAGCACCAAAGAACTCCCTTCCTCTCTCCAACTCTCCAGTTCTGGCTCTGCCAACCAACATAGAGTTACCATCTTAAATGAATCTTTCGTTTGGTATCTTACTCCAAACTTAATATTTCACTTGTATTGACTGTTTCACTGACTATCACATAACCAAGGCATCTACTGAGTACAACTTAGAAAAGCTGTGTGTTTGTGTGGGTGTGTGTGCGTGCGTTCAGATTTTCTAATGCGAATGATTAGATTGTCACCTGAACCAAGTCACCTAACTCGTTTATCAGTTCCTGCACTTTCGCACTTAGAACTACCTCACACATTTCATGACATAACATGTTTATTCAGTCCACACTCCACTATCGGTAACCTTTTACCTTATTTTTACTCAATACACAGGCTAAGGTGATGTTTATCAGGCAATTAATTAAGTTTTAATTGCAAACATTTGGCGTTACTTTTACTTACAGCAACAATTCTATTATTTTTTTAAATGAACATCAAAATAGCCAATAGAGATTTTGTGTGCAAATTAAGAAAGTTTATGTCTATTATCTTGGTAGGTATTCCATTTTTACACATTTTCATCAACTTATTGTATTATCAAACATCCGATGACAATGAGCTGAAAGATAAAATTAATCTTAATTCTAGTTTTCTTCGTTTTTTTAAAAGTGGTGATATGTTAGCAAGTTGAATTATTCTCGACTTTCGAATGATGTTCACCGTACGACAAGATGTCGATAAGAGTTTGGTAGGTCGCTGCTTGTGGAACCTCAAGTAATACAACGAGAGCAAGCATGCCGGTGTCAAATTCTTCCATTTCTCTAGTCAACTGAAATTAACTAGTGAGGTAGATTGGCTTTCTATTACACAGACGAATACTTGAGGTACAGTGAAAAGTAACCTCTTTATTCGTCACGAGAAGGCATATCAGTTATGCGCAGAGAGCCTTCATTGATTTATAGTGCGTCGGCCAAACACCGACTTATCAACTGTAAAGCTAACTTTAAACATGAAAATTGATTTTGATAAAAGTACTTTCGATTAAGACAGTGATATAAAAAGTACACCATTAATGCAATTAAAAGCGCTCCAGTCACTCCAGTACAAGTAAATGTATTGTTTAATTTTATTACAGACGATTCAGGCGATAGCTTGCGTCATTCGAACAATGGGTTCAAATTTTATTGTTTTGGAAGGACAAATCACCGTTCAGTTGAATTATCAAATATTTAAGTTAGTTGAGCGACTAATAATTGCAGAAACAACACTGAAATCCTTTTCGATAATCTGTTAAAGCTCTTCTCCACAGTATATTCGTACCTATTTTTCGATTTAGGTCAGTTTTCCTAGGCTAATCTTCAATGGGGTCGAAGATGACATAAGATCTTTTCATGGTAGTCTGAAGTTAACTCTCGGTTAATAGACTTTTATTTGCCGTATGAGTGTACGTTACCCAGGGTGCACCACATGGAAGTAAGGCCTCTGTGAAGCCCAGAGTCAACTAAGGTGCTAATGTTACCTATCGTAAAGCCTGATATTTGATATAAATAAATCTTGAATGAGTCACCAAATTTATTCCATGTTTTACTTCCAATCGATGCTAGATTTAATTGACAGACATTAACCAATACTGTTAACAGGTTTTCCCACTTAAATTCTTTTATTAACATATCCACTGATTATAAATCGTGTCTACATCGTAGCCAATTGAATTAGTCATCTCTTTTCAGGCCTCAAACTTTCCACTGTCAATTATTTTTTTAAGAAGTAACTTTGCTGTGTTGACGCTCACTGTCAAACTGAGCGAACTTCTTAAAATCCTTCAAAGTGTGGCTTAATTCATAAACGCCTTTTCATTCTACTGATGCTAACTTAGCCAAACTATTCATTTTAAAATAGCTTCTTGATGGATTTGTACCGATCTGATTATCGACCTCTGCCATGACCCATAATCACCTTTGCCATCGTAGATTGGTTCCTGTCTCTCGTAGTAAGACGATAGTTATCAAATTATTTATCATTTAAGCACCAAGAGATCTTTAAAGGAACTTGTTGCTTGGCCTCTATGCTCATTTACTCTAAAATTTCAGAATATTTTACGTAAGAAAGTGCATAAGCTGTCAGTATATTTAACTCTCAAGCTAATTTAATCATTTTTAGGCAACCCAATTCCTGGATAGAGATGTTACATCTTGGAGAATCTACTTAAAACTCCAATTTGTTACACGTTATTAGTTCGATCTCGTCTGTACCATTGGTCATTTCACTCACTGGTTATGGATCGGTGCTTAAGCGGTAAACTCTTGCTTCGTAAATGGGTATCTTAACCTCTGCGTGACAATTTAATTAACACATCTGAAATCCTTCCTCCTCTATTTTCCGAGGTGATTATCGGCTTGGGAACTGTTTCGTGTCCACTGTGAACTAATTAGCGATATAACTGAACGAAAATGGATTTAAATTTATAACTAAATGATGGTGTATTAAAGCACCTTTACACTTTCACTCATATATGGTGTTGGTGATCCCGACTTTAGGAGAAATGAATATTTATCCAACAAAGCGGAAATTTCTAATAGCCTTTATCTCATAAATAATAGGTTATTTGAGCATTCTTGATTGTTAATAATTGGCAGGCGATTCTATTTGGTCTTTCCAAACACTAAATACTCCATTGAGATTTCAGAATCACCTCAGTTAATGTCATTAAATGCGCACGAAAACTGTTTAGTGGAAACAAAAGTTAATCAATTGAAAAATCAATATTTGCGCCATTACGTTCAAATAACGCAATTTTACCAATGTGTTTTATTTATCGATTGTCGATATCTATTCGCCTGCTTTGATGTAGACTCGTTAAATGAACATGCTTTCGTGTTCAAATCGAAAATCGACGTAGCTTTCAACCCAATCGATTTTGCTCTTCATTTTTTCGACACAAATGAAAGTGAAACCTTTTCATGACGATTTTCCGATAAAAGTGTAATTTTATATTCAAATATGTCCCCTGTTTGAAGTGGGTCAATGTTGCAGTGGTTGCAGAGGATACGAAATCAATGTCTATCTGTTTATATTTAACTTTCTTGGTATTCGATCTGCCATCAGTTGCTGGGGTATACGATGATATTCAAATACCGTAAGAAACATGAACCAATGCAAAAGTATTCCTAGTCACGTGAGACTCAAATGACCTGATTTCAGCACTCTAATTGAGTAAGTACAACCAAGTTTCAGAGTGATACAGTGGTTAACCAGTTTATTGGAGGGGTCAAATATTATGAGGTCGATGTCGGACTATGCACTTGCACAGAGCAAAATGGATAACAAAGTCAATTAATTATGGTAGAGTTCGAGTTACTCACCCGGAAGGCTGCCTATTCCATGGTAACTGTTGGCAAATGCTTTTCTGTTTGAATTCTACAGCTTCGGTAGAAAGAACAATATTACCAAGCGTTTTTATTCACGATGACCGGTTGAAGTAAGAAAGGAATAGTTAATCGTATACCAAGAGATTTGAGATTAATATTCACTAGCATTGGCTAAATGACCCTAATTAAAAAATGCATAAGAGTAAACACAACGGTAACTGCAATGAAAACGGAAGTCGAACCGGGTAATTAAGTCCGAATATTATATGGTCAAGAGCCCACACAAGGCTACTCAAAATTTCGACACCTATGAGAGGTCTATATTAATGAAATCAAATGCACAGCCTGGATAAAAGCTGAAACCTCACGAAAATGTACAAAACATGAAGACTTTTCCAAATAGAAATATTTTGCAGGATAATAAGTATTGAAGTAGTAGATTCACATTCTACATATGGCATTCAAAGCGTTATGAAATGAGTATCATCAGATTTGAGACCGACATAAAAAATGTCAACATGATAACTATAGTACAAACATCTTATCTAATCATAACCCGAAAAACACAAATTCGCCCATACAATTAGAAAAAGCCAGTATTGAAGATCTATTTAAAATACACATGAGGATACAAGAATCAAAAAACATGAAAACGTTCTCAAACGAGAACAAGGGCTAGGCAGGCCAAAGGGCTAGAAATATATTTGTTATATATGTACACCAGGGCAAGGAAACACGATTGGCGGGAAGATTAAAGATGGAGGGGGAGAGGGAAAAAGGGGTGTGTGAGACTAAGCACAACCGACATCACAGCTTGTCCATCTAATCTCGCTCACCAATAAAATGGTTTCGGCATTTCTCAGCTTCTAGAAAGTGATGTAGGAGCATCTACAGAGGATTTTGAAGGTGAGGTGATTTGACGTTGGGAAGATGATTACAAGACACACCCTCATCGTCATTATCCCTAGCTTCTTCATATATTTCATCCATTTCATCATAGTTCACATCGTAATCCCCAGAGAAATTATATTCGTCGTCACCGTCTAACAGTGGCGAATCTTCCGGCTTGCTTCCTTCGTGAGATTTTTGGTTGTGAGAAGCGAAACAATAGTCTTCAAGTGTTGTGGGAACAACAACTCCATCCCACTTCGCCTCAGTCTTTGTGCGTTCAACAAGCTCCCTGTAAATAAAAAATAGAATGAGCAAAAAAGCTAACTATCCTAATTCCATTGTAAGTAAACTTACTTAACGCGTTTTGCATACATATCTTCCTTTCCTTTCGACTCGACCCACTTTCGATATGCAACCGAGGCATCGATATGAGCAGCCGAATTAATATTAGGTTCGTTTAAAAGTGATATAATACTTAAAAGAACAGTCCTAAGGAGAAAATCAGCAAAAAGGCCAAAAGATAAAATTACCTAACACTTTGAGTTGGATTCCATTGTTCAGATGGATGCTCATCTGAGTACATATCTTCACCTGGAGAGTGAAGAATAGATATGCAGACATTTCCGTTCTCGAAAATATTTGGATGAAACATTTCACTTAAAAAGCGCACTGTTGGTGGATTATAGGGATAATCATGGGGGAAAGACAAGCGGGCCTGGAATTCATAAGTAATAAATTAACAATTACCTTAAAATACCCTCCTTCGTATAATGTTTGTGGTGGCCCAAATAGTGCAGCATCCCATACAAAAAGATTGGATTCGTCAACCAGAGTAACCTTAAATCCCTCAACAGGAGAATCAACCAATTCTTTTAGTTCTTTCTGGAGAGCTTTAATAGCTGAGGCCCGAGCACTTGATCTGCCTGCCATACACAGATATCTAGCAAAAAGTTCTTTTAAGAAATGCTGCTCGGCAATATGATTAATTAAAACAAGTTCAGCATGAAGGACATATATATACCCGTATATATTAGCCATTATTATTTTACTATCCAATAAGATCAGTTTAAATAATTTGAAAAATTTAATATTTGTGCGAATTATATTTGCGAATCTATT